TTTATGGTGGTTTTGGAGAAGTGGCTTCTTCCTTGCTGAGCAGCCTTTCAGGTTATGTCGATATAGGACTTGTTTTACTGTGGATATAGATACTTTTGTACCGGTTTCCTCCAGCATCTTCACAAGGTCCTTTGCTGTTGTTCTGGGATTGATTTGCACTTTTCGCACCAAAGTACGTTAATCTCTAGGAGACAGAACGCGTCTCCTTCCTGAGCGGCATGACGGCTGCGTGGTCCCATGGTGTTTATACTTGCATACTATTGTTTGTAAAGATGAACATGGTACCTTCAGGCATTTGGAAATTGCTCCCAAGGATGAACCAGACTTGTGGAGGTCTACAATTGTTTTTCTGAGGTCTTGGCTGATTTCTTTTGATTTTCCCATGATGTCAAGCAAAGAGGCACTGAGTTTGAAGGTAGGCCTTGAAATCCATCCAAAGGTACACCTCCAATTGACTCAAATGATGTCAATTAGCCTATCAGAAGCGTCTAAAGCCATGACATCATTTTCTGGAATTTTCCAAGCTGTTTAAAGGCACAGTGAACTTAGTGTATGTAAACTTCTGACCCACTGGAATTGTGATACAGTGAATTATAAGTGAAATAATCTCTGTAAACAATTGTTGGAAAAATTACTTGTGTCATGCACAAAGTAGATGTCCTAACCGACTTGACAAAACTATAGTTTGTTAACAAGACATTTGTGGAGTGGTTGAAAAACAAGTTTTAATGACTCCAACCTAAGTGTATGTAAACTTCCGACTTCAACTTTATTCTACTGTATTCTAGTCAATGCCACTCCGACATTGCTCATCCTAATATTTAATATTTATTCTTAATTCCATTCTTTACCTTTGAGTGTGTATTGTTGTGAATTGTTAGATACTACTGCACTGTTGGAGCTAGGAACACAAGAATTTAGCTACACCCGCAATAACATCAGCTACATATGTGTATGTGACCAACACAATTTTTGTTTGCTTGTAATTGTTAAGGACTGGGGAGTTTTTCAGGATAAAAAAATTAACAGAATGGAGCTACGCACAGGCAAAATCCTAGAGGAAAACCTGGTTCAGTCTGCTTTCCACCAGACACTGGCAGATGAATTCACCTTTCAGCAGGACAATAACCTAAAACACAAGGCCAAATATACACTGGAGTTGCTTACCAAGAAGACAGTAAATGTTCCTTAGTGTCAAAGTTACCGTTTTGACTTAAATCTACTTTTAAAAAATATATGGCAAGACCTGAAAATGGTTGTCTATCAAATGATCAACAACCAATTTGACAGAGCTTGAAGAATTTTGAAAAGAATAATGGGCGAATGTTGCACAACCCAGGTGTGCAAAGCTCTTAAGAAACTTACCCAGAAAGACTCACAGCTGTAATCGCTGCCAAAGGTGCTTCTAACATGTATTTACATTTCCATTTTAGTCATTTAGCAGACGCTCTTATCCAGAGCCACTTACAGTTAGTGCATACACATTTTTTTTTTCTTCCCATACTGGCCCCCTGTGGGAATCGAACCCACAACCCTGGCGTTGCAAACGCCATGCTCTACCAACTGAGCTACACGGGACCCTACTTTACTGTATTAGTATTGATTCAGGGATGTGAATACTTATGTAAATGAGATCTCTATTTCAATAAATTTGCAAAGACTTCTAAAACATGTTTTCACTTTGTCATTATGGGACATTGTGTGTAGATGGGTGAGAAAAATATACATTTCATCCATTTTGAATTCAGGCTGCAAAACAAAATGTGGAAAAAGTCATGGGGTGTGAACACTTTCTAAAGGCACTGTACCTAAGTTTATTTTAGCAATTACATTCACTTTTTATACTTAAGTATCAAAAGTAAAAGTATAAATCATTTCAAATTCCTTAAATTAAGCAAACCAGACAGCACAATGTGTTTTATAAATTTACGGATAGGGGCACACTCCAACAATTTACAAACGAAGCATTTGTGTTTAGGGAATCCACCAGATCAGAGGCAGTAGGGATGACTAGGGATGTTCTTTTGATAAGTGCGTGAATTGGACCATTGTCCTGTCCTGCTAAGCATTCAAAATGTAATGAGTACATTTGGGTGTCAGGGAAAATGTATGGAGTAAAAAGTACACATTTTATTTAGGAAGTGAAGTAAAAGTAGTCAAATATAAATAGTAAAGTAGATACCCCCCAAAAAAACGACTTAAGTAAAAATATTTTAAAGTACTCCTTAAGTACTTCACACCACTGGTCAGGGAGGTGACCAAGAACCAAATGACCCACTCTGACACTACAGAGTTCCTTGGCTGAGATGGGAGATCCTGCTTGAAGGATAACAGTCTCCACAGCACTTCACCAATCTGGCCTTTATGGGAGAGTGGCCAGACGGAACCCACTCTTGAGAAAAAGGCACATGACAGCTCGCAAAATGTGAAAGACTCAGCGCATAAAGCAAAATATTCTGTGGTCTGAGACAAAAATGTACTCTTTGGCCTGAATGCAAAGTGCTACGTCTGGAGAAAAACGAGGCGCAGTTCATCACCCGTTTAACACCATCCCTACCGTGAAGCATGGTGGTGGCAGCAACATGCTATGGGGATGATTTTCAGCAGCAGGGACTGGGAGACTGGTAAGGATAGAGGGAACAAATGAACGGAGCCAAATACAGGCAAATCTTTTGATGAGAACCTGCTTCAGAGTGCAAATGACCTTTGCCAGGGGGTGAAGATTTACATTCCAACAAGTCAATGACCCCAAGCAACGCTGGAATGGCTTCAGAACAAGAATGTGAAAGTCCTTGAGTGGCCCAACCAAAGCAGACTTGAATCGCATTTAAAAATCGGTGGAAAGACAAAGATTGCTGTTCACCGCCACTCTCCATCGAACTTACAAATCTGCAAGGAAGAATGGTAGGAAAAAAATAAATCACCAAATCCAGATGTGCTAAACTGATACAGGCTTACCCAAGATGACTCAAAGCTGTAATCTCCACCAAAGGTGCTTCTACAAAGTACTGACTCGGGGTGTGAATACTTTTGTAAATGGGATCTGTATTTTCAATAAAATGTGCAAAAAATGTTTAATATGTTTTCACTTTGTCAATATGGGGTATTGTGTGTAGATTCATACATGCACACCAAATGAGGTCAAACCTAACAACGTCATTCATTTACATTGTCCGTGACATAACTATAGTAACCATTTCTGTGACTGCTATCGGACCCATTATCACTTCAGATCAATCAACGTGGTAATCACCGAACATCTGTCTGCACTTGGTTCAACTATGCCACCTAGTGGTATGTAAATCTGGTGCACTTGGCTGTTGTTCCCCCCCTCTATTCCCGACTGGATCTAGTAAAATATTAGCAGTGGGGGATTAAGTGTTCGAAAGCTACACACCGACAGCTGAGTACTTCCATTCCCCCTTGGTACATGTATTACAACGCTGTAGTGAAAAACATGAGCCCTGGTGGTCCCTGATCTGATTGAGCGATTGTAAAAAGGACGTCACGCTGCAAGTACCGCTTCCTCCAATCGGATCACACAAGAGGCTCAAACCCAGGACCTCCGCTTTGCTAGCACGTGACTGGCCCTCCCGAAGTCTTAGCTCTCGCCAGACGTGGGGACAGTTCAGGCCGAGGATCACCCCCCCCACGTGCTCCACTTTCACGTTAACTTCCTGTCAAAACATGTGGAACGATGGCATCAATAGACCAGCACCCACTCTATAAGAACACGCACTTCCTTAAAATGAGATACATTTGCAAGGATTGTTTTATTTTTGTAGCAAAATCAGTTTGCGACTCAAGAATTAAGATTTGACAGACATTTCCCTGGCTACAACATGCAGACACCGCTGTCTGCCTCGTGTCTGGTGAGACAACAAAATGTTAAGGAGCAGAATCTAAAGCAAACTGCAGAAAAATCAAGGACATCAGATCTCCGGAGCCACAGGTAAATAAGGACATTTATAGTTCAGTCATTTTGAACAGAAAGAGAGTCAAATTATGACCGGAATCTTCCACACCGACACTCGGGGCTAGCCCATCGAGTACACCGAAGACAGGAGTTCAACTGAAAGCATGCACACTTAAAATTGGAGGTTTAAACTATGCAATTGTAGTCTTATGTAAAAGCAATATAAAAACGTACATGACCACAAGATAATTTGTGAAGCGCTTATTCACAGTATTTTTCAGCATCATCAGTAAAAACTTTAAAACGCAACAAAACCAATCGTAGGGGAAATGACTTCACACCCATCCAAATCATTTCGGGTGCAGTTTAAACTTAACTCTTGTCAGGAGAGTGGATTGGAACACCAACAGGGCAAAAATGGTGATGGAAATAACATTGTATTGATTACTCACAACAAAGCTTAGCCAAAGTTCTTCACTTCAAAAATGGTACATTTCATACAACTTAAATCACAATGACACTTACAACCTGCAGGGAGAATATTACAGATATTCAACAGGACTGCGACCCCAATCAAAAGCTCTCAAAATCACACTGTACATTTCATTAACTAAAAAAAGGTTCGGTTTTCAAAAGGAAACGTTTTAATTATTCAGATAGCAATAAAGCCTAAATTAGAAGTTGAATTAGGGAAGCACTATCCAACCTATAAAATCATAACATAACAACCAGTACAGAGCCAAGAGAAACTGGACCAATCAGGACCAAAGCTCCGATTTTTTTTTTTAAAAAAAATAACGAGATTGTGGGAGAGGGCATCACTCCCAAGGCAATGCTCCTCTTCATTACAACCCAGACTAGCAGGCGGGCCGGCACAAAGCCAGGCGCCATGGCTCCAGCATGACAACGCTTCAGTCTATACCACTACACCAGTGGAGACTGGTGGTCACTTTAAAAAAATCAGAGGACTGACTCATTGGAATGGAATCAATAGAACCCAATCAAACAGTGTTCCATTCCAGCCATTCCAATGAGTCTCTCCTCCCTCCACTGGACTATCACTAAACTGAACTGAACAGTACACTCAGTGCTGGCTCTCCACCGATGGGGACCGAGATGGCTTCCGGGCCGGGGCAGGGGAACGGGAGCGTGCGGGAGGGGTACGGGAGCGTGCGGGAGGGGTACGGGAACGGGGGGCAGGGGAACGAGAGCGTGCGGGAGGGGTACGGGAACGGGATTTGGAACGGGACGGGGAGCGTGAGGTGGAGCGATGTGCAGCCCTGCCCCCTCCTCCAGAGGAAGGCTTCTTCTCCGGGGTACGGCTGGCGGAGCGGGGGCTCCTGGAGCGGTTACGGCTCCTGCTACGGCTGGGGGACTTGGAGCGGGGGGAACGGGAGCGGCTACGGGACCGGGAGTAGCTACGAGAGCCACGGGAACGACTCCTGCTGCGGCTGTTGGAAGAGAAGAATTACAAGTTATTCATTTACCCCCCCAACCATTGATGTAGTCGAGTCCCTAAACCACAAGTCCCTCGCATTCAAGTCCTTTATAGTCCATCCCAAGTCCCTTAGCGCTAAACGCTGCAGGACAAAAATCTTTGAAGCTACCTACACTTCCCCCAACATCAAGACAGCATTGCTTTCTTATAACTATAGCTGGATCCTGTGTTTATACAACTTCACTTCAAATATGAAATTGCAAATTGGAAGAGGGGATGCGTACCGGCTCTTGCGATCCTCAGACAGCTTCAGCTTGCGTCCATTCAAGTCTGTTCCATCAAGCTTATCGATGGCATTCTTCATATCGCTGTGCGATGCAAACTCCACCACCCTGTCGAGTCAAATCACATTTTAGTTTGACGGCTCAGTTCATAAAAGCAGTAGGGCACATCACATGTGTTTGTTTTATTAGTTGTCCCTCCTTATCTCCGTCCTCCTTCCATTTTGTGCCTAATGAACAGGACCCCGGGCCCACTGAACAGACAACTTCCATTTTGTGTCTAATGAACAGGACCCCGGGCCCACTGAACAGACAACTCACCCTTCGTTCTTGTTGGTTCGGTGGGCATCGACAAAGGTGACCTCCCCAACTTTCCTCATCAGGTCTTTCAGGTCCTGTGGTGAAGCATACACGGGTAAGTGACAGACCAACACACTAATGTGGCTGAGAGTGCTCTGAACCTGGGGCAAGAGAAATCAGTAAAGCAACACGACAATAACATCCACCCCCCCCGTAATACTGACCTCATCAAAACACAGTAAAAAATGTGACGTTCTGGCATTTCGGACGAGGGCGTTTAAGTGATGAGCCACTGAAATAGCTTCACAGGTGTAGACAAACTAACCATTTCACTCAGAGTTTAAACCTGCTAACACTACCCAGTTCCTTGGTTTTGCATTTCAGGTTTGTGGGCAACTAGGATTTATGTGACAAAGATTAAAGATGGTGAGACGCGACAAATCCTTTGCGGTGTAGTGTCTTGGATATGTTCGAGGTTAGTGTCAACTATAGTGGTTTTAGGGGGCATCATTTAACTACAATGAATATAATTCTATGGAGATGCATTTTCATTTCATCATGAGCTTGTATTTTGATCAAGGGGTTATTTCAGTGAACTATTCATTAGCCTAGTATAATTCCATAAGGGCTTATATAAACTTACAGAATGAGTTCTCTGGTAAGACTAGGGTGTGTGATTCTACACTCGGTTCCTCCCAACCCTTAACAAACCCAATCACATGAGTTATATGTTACTTACCGTTCCATACCCAGGAAGACATTAGCAAAGAGCCACTTGTCCAAATAGCGGACCAATGGGAACCAATGCAGTCACAGTGTTAAGCCCTTGAGAAACGACCTCCCTCAGCCTTGACAGACCCGGACTCCGGCCAGCCTCCACAAGGGACCACCAGAGAGCAAGTAGGGGGGAAGGAAGGAAGGGGTGTGCAGTGTGCCCAACTGTCAACACCCCCCCAGCTCCATCAGCAACAGAAAAAGACCCAAACGGGAGAGTGTAGGGAACGTGGAGTGGATTGAGGGGGTTACAAGCTGGCTGCAGTCGGGGGGGGGTTTCCACCAGACCAGACCAGAGAACCTCCAGACTGGGGCTACGTGGGACCATCCTAAGGCTATCCTGCGCTAGACCACTTCCTCCCGCTACGGGGCCCAGCCAAGATTTAGACCAGCGGCAACTGCGTGTAAGGAGAGGCACCAAATGGACACTATTGAAAACACAACCAGCAGAGGGCGCAATGCACGTACACCTCCGAGGAGGCTGTGCATGCAACTCCGTTATAAACGAATAACCAGAATTTAAAAAAAATAATAATAAGCTGTTAAAATAAAAATGTAAGATGTGCTTGGTTAGATTTACCTTTTGGTATAAGTAGTGCTTATTTTTTTTTTGAAAGATACAGTTAAAACGAAGTCAAGAAATAAACAACACTGAATTCCTAACATCGAAACGGGGCCATGCCGTTCTATTTCACCTAATGGGACTATTGAGCATAAAGCTGTGTCCTTTGGTAATAAATAAAATAAGCATGTTTTCAATAAATAAATAAAAATGCTGCTAAAAAATAAAAAAAATAAAAAATGGCAGTAAGTACAGAGTAATAGTCTGAACCAGATTGGTTTAACCCCTCACCTGCCAACTGATGCGTGACGACAGGTTCTCCACGATGATTCTGTGTTCCGTCCTCACCGGGGGCCCATACCTACTGAACGGAAGGCAGAGCAAAGTTACAGCACAGAGGAGGGGGGGGAAATAATGATGTGTTACTATTAGGTCTCAAAACATTTATTGCAAGTGAGAGCTTGAAATTAAACCACAAGTCAATAAATGTAATACGTGAATGTACTGCATGAGAGCACAGGGATGTTACAACATATTTTGTATTTACATTTACATTTTAGTCATTTAGCAGACGCTCTTATCCAGAGCGACTTACAGTTAGTGAATACATTTTTTTATACTGGCCCCCCGTGGGAATCGAACCCACAACCCTGGCGTTGCAAACGCCACGCTCTATCAACTGAGCTACATCCCTGCCGGCCATTCCCTCCCCTACCCTGGACGACGCTGGGCCAATTGTGCGCCGCCCCATGGGTCTCCCGGTCGCGGCCGGCTGCGACAGAGCCTGGATTCGAACCAGGATCTCTAGTGGCACAGTTAGCACTGCGATGCAGTGCCTTAGACCACTGCGCCACTCAGGAGACGAGACTGCGCCACTTTGTAGCTACCATAGGAACTTTAAAAATCACACCGGGGAAATGCCTGTAAACCCACTATTTCTGCACGTGAAAAGGTTGAAATTAAGAGTGATAATTATTCAGTCTATATATTAAAATACATGTAAAACACCAGATGGGCTACTTTGCGTACCTGAAGCCACCAGGAAGAGAAGGTTTTCTAGCTACAAGAGGAAGTAAATCACACTGACTATACTCCAGTCACTGCAAGTGAGAAGGTTGAAATGAAAACGCCCTATATAGTCTGTACCTGGACCCGCCACCACCGCGGCGATCACCAGACCCCTGGCGGTAGCTGCTGAAACGAGGTGAGAAGCGTCCTCCTCCTCCTCCGCCCCCGCCACCCATCCCAGGCCCACCACCTCTCCCTCTTCTGGATCGGGCATGCTCTATAGTCACCCTGTGGAGAACAAACAGACGCTTAACAGCGGCTGCAGTAATTACTATGGAATGTATTCAGTGATGGTTTTTTTCCCCCCCGTTCAGAGAAATTATTCATTGAAGTTGTTAGTAGAGGTCTTCACGGATCCACTGGTACCCAAATTCCCAAAACCCGAGTGGGTTCCGGATCCAGAACTCTAAATAAATGTCACAGGTCTGATCCGACTGTCATCGGTCTTGGGTGCGTGTCATTTTAACCGACTTGCCAAAGAGGGGGCCGTACAGATCCGAACGGGACTGGTGTAGTAGAGAGAGAGAGTGTAATTTATTTTCTGAGTGAACTCTTAGCATTGATGGGGAGGGGGTTCTTTAAAAAAAGATCACCTGGAACAGCACCATCTAGTGGTCAGAACCTGGTAATATCAGGATGAGTCACAAATCTAACAACTTCAATGACTAATTTCTCTGAACAGGTGGGAAAAAGCACCAAATTCACAGGGAATATATTACATAGGATGAAAACTAAATGCAGAGCAGCAGCTCCATACTACTTGTCAGACAGAACTGATGCGGTCTACTCGTTGTTGGGATTGGCGTGGGTGGCTTTTGACCATCTTATGTTTTTAGGGGAAAAAGGGTCCAATAAGGTACTATATATATATATATATATATATACACATTAAATATTATTTAAATCCTATAAATGACCAATTAAGGTGCAATCAATTTATTTAATTTCTCTGCGATCAAATTACACAAACCTTCTGTTTCCAATTACAGAAATGATTTCAGAACAATCTGAGATGGTGGGTGCCTTTTGCTTTTTGGGGTGCTTTGCGGTGGAATGACCCATATGTATTAAATGCCAACACATCAAATTTCACCATTCATTTTCTCGAGACATTGCTGAATGTGTATCCAAATCATTACCTTTCACTACAGAGTTCCTTGCCATTCAGCTCGTAAACTGCATCATCAGCGTCTCTGTGGTCGTCAAACTCCTGATAAAAGACAAAGGGGTGAGGGGGGGTTAACTCGTCAACAAAACATTCACCAATAGGTGTTTGATCAAGGCCGACTTACCACAAAGCCGAATCCGTTCTTCAAATTGACTTCTCGGATCCTTCCATATCCTTTGAAGAATTTCTCCACGTCCCTCTCACGAGCGTGAGGGCTCAAACGACCGATGAACACACGACATCCACTCATGGTTTTCTGGAACAAAAAAAAAAAAAAGTTGGCTAAGTGCTTAACTTATTAGATCATAAACAGTAACGTTACCCCCAAACACGTAGGTTGCTGACAAGACCCAGATCAGAGTGCGCTAACTAGCTAACGTTAGCAAAGAGCTAACAATACTAAAAGTGCACTCGTACACTTTTGCCAAGTTTAGCAGCCGTTCGTCGTGCTGGGTAATACTAGCCAGATACCCAGCCAGTCTAGGATCGGCAACGTAAACAGTTATACGCAAAACGAATAAGTTACCTACAGTTTTATATTAACTAAATCACAATCTATACGGTGTGGGTATGAACCAATTACGTATAGTCGCTAGCTAGCCGACTAAACTCATCTCAATGATTTACGACGGAGTTGAGCGTAGGCGGACTGGAGCTCCGAAGTCAAATTGATTTATCGTGCGTTCAAGACAACTGGGAAATGACGTCAGTGATCTTCAGATGGTAAATTCTGTGCTCTATAAGAAACCCGAGTTGGATTTCCGAGTTGGATGACCGTTGAAAACAGTTTTTCCCAGTCGGAACTCGTTTCTTCTACGAGTTCCCAGTTGCCTTGAACGCACTAAAGTCTGAGCGTTCCGAGTTCCCAGTTGTTTTGAACGCGGCATTAGAACCCAACGAATAGCCGGCAATTAGACGAACATTTGTGTTAGTGGGCTATTCTTTGGCCGCTAAAATCAGTAGTTTGATTAAAACAGTCATTGTATGTGACGTCGAAGCTCCAGTCCGCCCATAAAAATCGCTGACTTTAGTCGGCTACGTAGCTAGTTACCCATGTCGTGCAGTTGTCTTTTTGCTACTCTGGCTAGCTTAGCTGCATTACTATCTTGGCAATCGGACAAAATGTGAATCATTAGATTATTGACTCGCCAAATATTTGTGGCAGTCTGCTAACAAAAAAATGTTTTCATCGAAACTTGAACCTCACCTTTCTGTTATCTTCGTTACTTCTGATAGCTTGTATGTGTGTCAAAATGGCGACTCCCGAGTGAGACAACGAGGGGGAAACCGGATCTTCTTTAGCACTAAGGGGGGTGGGCGTGTTCCAGTCATCCAGACCTATCAAAAAGTTCCACAAGACCCCTTCCACAAGACCCCTGCCAATGAGACAGATATTTCACCGGATGTATAAATGTGAAGCATCCGGTTGGTGTTTCCACTCATTACCAAATATGGTGAGAGGAAGCCAAATGGCCGCCAGTGGAGAAGATGGAGCGAGATGGTTTTTAAACCGAAATTCTGCTAATTTTCTCATCTATAAAACGTTTGATCTCAATACAGTGTTCTGTTTCCAAAACTAGAATATGTTACGAACAGAGTGGACTAAGTTTTGTAGACTTTACCCTTGGCCAAAGTTTCAAAAAAAATGCGTTGTTTAGGAGTGCAAAGGCGAATGGACTTATTGCACACGCGCACTTCAAAGTAGGCGTTCCCTAACGGAAATATGCAAATATGTGCTAGAACGAGCCTATCTCGTGCTTGGCTATGCCCACCGTCTTGCTTGTTCTGCCCACTATGATTATGTTCATACATGAAATGTACATACACGTAGCCACATCATACAAGGGCCCCATGTAGCTCAGTTGGTAGAGCATGGCGCTTGCAAGGGCAGGGTTGTGGGTTCGATTCCCACGGGGGGGCCAGTATGAAAAAAAAAAGCATGTATGCACTCACTAACGCTCTGGATAAGAGTGTCTGCTAAAATGTAGATCTTTATGACACATTTCCCAACATTCTGCTGTCCATCTCATCTGACTGAACTCAAAATAAGATTTTCCTCCCATTCAGTGCTGTTCATTTCAGACTGTGTGGTCAAACTCAAGGACAAGTACAGGACAACATATTTTACTGTTATTCATGTAATCTTTATTCTATTAGTTCCACTCTTAACATTGTGGCATCGTCTTACAATTCGGTAAAGCACATTACCAACTGAGGTTCAAATAGACACGATACAATAGAAAAAGGTATTCTCTGTAGAAAGTGCCAAAAAATGATTTCAATGGTGAGCATGGAATACTGACCTTTACGGAACCCATTTCAATTTCAAGATAACAAAAAAAAAAAATCCTGAATTAAAAAAAATACAAATAATATAGATGACACTACACATTAAAAAGAAATAAAATATAGATGATTTAAAAATCTAAGTATATAAACAAATAAATATAGTTACTTTATTTTGCCCAGTTGTCAAGGAGATGCTGGATGATCATGACACACCTGGGTAACAACCACAGGTCATGTGATTTCCTTCCTGAGAGGGGGATGGTGTACGGAGGGGTGGAGGCAGACAGACAGACAGACAGACAGGCAGACAGACAGAGAGAGAGACACAGACAGACAGTAAACTAAGGAGGAACAGAGAAAGAAAGGACGATATTGTTCTCCAGAAATACTTCTGTATGGAATCAATGGAGTGGGCTTCAGAATGGACAACTGACTGACCGGTAGGACAACTTCCCCCCTTGTTTCAAGGATCACATGTGAATCCAACACATTCAGAGACATATCCTCACCAAAAAAAAAATTAAAAAAAAACATTTTCCTTCACACAATGCCCCAACTGTAACACAACCCCATCTCTCGACAGGCCCCCAGACACCCCACACACCTACTCAATCACTCTCTTGGGTAGGAGGGGTGAAAAAAGAGAAGTTGTATGAACAGAAACCTGTGATTCAACCGCTATGAGTTTCACTTCCACCGCTGAGATTTCTTATGTTGTACGCCGACTGATCGGTCACAACGTCTGAGCTTTCTTGATCAGGTTTCTGTTTCATCTCCTGACGAACATTGAATGATTCCCATTGAAGAAGAGCGTAAATGCACGTTTCAGAGACATCTGACAGTGTTATTCATCACATATGATAGTAGTAAATACCAAATTACATGGGGGGGGGGGGGGGGCAGACAATGTCTTGTTAAACAATGCATGAGACCATGAAATGGACAAATAACACCCAAATATGTAATACTAATATGATAAAATTAGATAATTGAAATGAATATGATCCAAACACTAATTTAGATGTCTTCACTTTTGTCCAATCCTTTTCTCTTGGCACATCGTTTTCAATTAAGAACGACGTTTAACAGAAATGCGCTGGTTTAAATCCCACGTGTAGTCACTCCTAACCGGAGCATACATCACTATACACGGTTCTGTTACTACAACTTCTAAAATGGCCCGAATATTAACTCACCTCACACATAAACAAAACAAAACATATTTTGAAGTTACAACTGAAGGCCAAGTAAGGAGGTTATTGAACAAGTACCTCTTGAAATGAGCAGCGAGTAGTCTCAGGCAGAGAGATACTTTGGCCTACGTCCCAAATGGCACCCCTATTCCCTAGATAGTGCACTACTTTTGTGCACTATCTAGGGAATAGGGTGCCATTTGGGACGTGACCTCAGCTTTATCTTTGTGGTGTCTGATATCCATCTACTCTACAGGAGAAGCAGCTCTGTAAGGAAGGGAATCAGGGGATGAAGGCTGACAAAGGTTTAAAAGTTCATGGAAAAAGATAAATACTAGAAAGTACCCCAGACCTACAGTACATCACGTAGCTGTGGTCAATCTAAAAAAGAGCCATGCCATGCTCTGAGTTAGTTGGTCAACAAATCCTTCAGAATATATCTACCATATATCTAAAGGGAGAAAATCAGGGAAAGGATCCAAGGATCTGTGGGTTTTGCAGGTCCCCTCGTCCCCAGCGGCACCATGAGTCACCACTACCAGGTTAACTAATCATCCATCCCTGTCTCTGTTCTCAGAGGTGGTACTATGAGGTCAGTTGGTTATTCAGTTAGGCCCACAGATATTACATCACTACATCCCCAGCAGAGGTGACCTGGTGACCTTCTGGTCCAGGGTTCAGAGGTCAAAGGTAATTGAGAGAGTCCTATTGGCTGTTCTCTTCAGACCTACAGTCATTGGCTCAGACCCGTGTATGGCGACAGCTGTGTGAGGATCCGGTGCCCGCCCCGGAGGCCGAGTTGGGGTCCTCGTCGCTGGACTCCCCGGCCTCTCGCTCCTCCTTGTGAAGGCCCATACTAATGTGGCTCTGGAGGGCCGCGGGGGTCAGCCACTCCTTAGGGAGGCAGGTCTGGAGGAAGGGCACGCAAGAGCTGAAGTAGGCCAGGCGGTTTACCCAACGAGGGATCTCACGCCCACACAACAGCTGGAATAGAATGAAACAAACATGGCGTCAGGAAAAGGACTGAATAATGTGGATACAGTATCGGACATGCACTTGGCAAATAAAAAAACATCCTCAGCAAAATATATTTATTACTGTCGATAGGCAATGCTCCTTTAAAAAAAAAAAAAAAAGATGGAATGGCTCTATCAGATTGTTCACAATAAATGTAAATATGATGTATAATTCAAAATGTATATATTCAAACAGTAATCCTCTCTTATGAAACGGTTACGAAACAGAAAGGAACATTTGAAAAATCGGAACGACGGTTGTCCCACCGACCTCAGACAGCGAGGAAGAGAAGTGGTTGCAGTTCTTGTGCATTAGATGGTAGGCGTCGCCTTTGAAATCCCTCCCCAGCTCCTCCATGATTTTATCCATATCCTCCACTGCAAAATCTGTCGTGCCCAAAGCGATAGCCTCCCTGTGTAGACATACACAACATATTTACTAAAACTTGTGGTTGAGCTATTGAAGTATACGTGAAAAGAAGTGAAGATCCACTTGATACCGTGCCGCTGCTCAGTAGGCCATGTCTGGGATCCCAAATTGAGTCTTATGGGCCTTGGTCAAAAGAAGTACAACAGGGAATAGGGTGCAATGTGGGATACACTGTTCTGTCGTCCTTACATGGCGACAGCAAACAAAGACAGTCTTTGATTTCCTGTTGCTGTTGTGAAACAGCAGCCATTGACCACTTCTTTATGTGACTAGGCACTTTGTGTACCCGTGCGTGTGTGTGCGTGTGTGTGTGTGTGTGTGTGTGTGTGTGTGTGTGTGTGTGTGTTTTAATTTAAACTCACTTAAACTTGAAGGTTTCTCCTAATTCCGTGGCGTTTCCAGGATTGATTTCAAATATGCCACTGAAAGGATACGGGTGACCCCCATATGCAAACTCTGTAGTAAAGAGGGGAAATAAGGAACACATTGGGTAAATGTCATATCTTCATTGAGACGTCTCACGATACAGGCATGAGAAAAATAATTGCTGTCGCCACACTTGCTTTCCAACAAAGGTACATGAGTGGGGCTCCCGAGTGCCGCAGCGGTCTAAGGCACTGCATCTCAGTGCTTGAGGCGTCACTACAGACCGAGTGGCGCAGCGGTCTAAGGCACTGCATCTCAGTGCTTGGGGCGTCACTACAGACCGAGTGGCGCAGCGGTCTAAGGCACTGCATCTCAGTGCTTGAGGCGTCACTACAGACCCCCCCCTGGTTCGATTCCAGGCTGTATCACAACCGGCCGTGATTGGGAGTCCCACAGGGCGGCGCACAATTGGCCCAGCATTGCCTGGGTTTGGCCGTCATTGTAAATAAGAATTTGTTCTTAACTGACTTGCCTAGTTAAATAAAGGTAAAAATAAGGTGTAAATTTGGTGTATCTGTACATTGTTGACTACTTTTACTTCATTACATTCCTAAAGAAAGTGATGTACCGTACTTTTTACTCCATACATTTTCCCTGACGCCCAAAAGTACTCGTTACATTTTGAATGCTTAGCAGGACAGGAAAATTGTCAAATTCATGCACTTGTCAAGAGAATATCCCCCGGTCATCCCTACTGCCTCTGATCTGGCAGACTCACTAAACACTTAGTTTGTAAATGATGTCTGAGTGTTGGAGTGTGCCCCTGGCTATCCGTAAATAAAATAAAACTAGAAAATGGTGCCGTCTGGTTTGCTTAATATAAGGAATTTGAAATGATTTATACTTTTACTTTTGATACTTATGTATATTTAAAACCAAATAATTTTAGACTTTTCCTCAGGTAGTATTTTACTGGGTGACTTTCACTTTCACTTGAGTAATTTTCTATTAAGGTATCTTTACTTTTACTCAAGTATGACAATTGGCTACTTTTTCCACCACTGGATATCGTGTGGTGTTAGAAGATATCGTGTGGTGTTAGAAGATATCGTGTGGTGTTAGAAGATATCGTGTGGTGTTAGAAGATATTGTGTGGTGTTAGAAGATACCGTGTGGTGTTAGAAGATATCATGTGGTGTTAGAAGATATCGTGTGGTGTTAGAATATATCGTGTGGTGTTAGAAGATATCGTGTGGTGTTAGAAGATATCGTGTGGTGTTAGAAGATATCGTGTGGTGTTAGAAGATATCGTGTGGTGTTAGAAGATATTATATAGTGTTAGAAGATATTGTGTGGTGTTAGACTATATTGTGTGGTGTTAGACTATATTGTGTGGTGTTAGAAGATATCGTTTGGTGTTAGAAGATATAATGTGGCGTGTGATCAATGTGTCTTCCTCGCTGATGTCTACTTACGATGTACTAGAACTCAGATAAGACAGAAAAACATCTTGATACCAAAACGGGAGGGACTATTTTGATAGATTTTTTTTTTTAAATGATGCATCACCCACAGTATTCCCTGGGTGCAGGCACTGACTGAGGGGACAATAACAACCAGGCAGTCCGTCTGTCTCTCTCTGGGTTTATGCTAAAACTACAGTATCTCTCTCGCTCTTTCCACATAGGATGACTCAATGGTGAATTACTCATCCCTGAGGGAGGATAGAACACATAATCATAGAATCTGTATGGAATAGAAGCTGTGGAGAGAAACATTCCACATTTCCTCTCCATTTTGCCAACAGCACACTGGTTGAATGAATGAATAAGTGAGTGAATGAGAAAGTAGTGAAGGTCTTCCTCTGTACCTCGGCCATAGATCTCAATGCCTGAGTGGTAGACTCCAACACCAAGAGTGGAGGTGTACTCGTTAATCCAGTACTAGAGAGAGAGAGAGAGAGAGAGAGAGAGAGAGAGAGAGAGAGAGAGAGAGAGAGAGAGAGAGAGAGAGAGAGAGAGAGAGAGAGAGAGAGAGAGATAAGTGTATTTTTAAACAGTTAGATACAGTATCCTGAAAAGGTTGGAATCGCTCTTTTTTCAATTGATTCATTCTCCTAAGGATACTAAGTAGATAGTAGTACAACATATCTGACTGGAGACTGTTTATGGTTTTGATCAGAACCATACACCAGGGTTTAGTTTGTTAAGTGCATACAAAGCTATCATACATTTCCATTATGTCATGGCTTCCCCTGAATGCAGGGTAAGTGGCTGGTTGTCATGGCTTCCCCTGAATGCAGGGTAAGTGGCTGGTTGTCATGGCTTCCCCTGAATGCAGGGTAAGTGGCTGTTTGTCATGGCTTCCCCTGAATGCAGGGTAAGTGGCTGGTTGTCATGGCTTCCCCTGAATGCAGGGTAAGTGGCTGGTTGTCATGGCTTCCCCTGAATGCAGGGTAAGTGGCTGGTTGTCATGGCTTCCCCTGAATGCAGGGTAAGTGGCTGGTTGTCATGGCTTCCCCTGAATGCAGGGTAAGTGGCTGGTTGTCATGGCTTCCCCTGAATGCAGGGTAAGTGGCTGGTTGTCATGGCTTCCCCTGAATGCAGGGTAAGTGGCTGGTTGTCATGACTTCCCCTGAATGCAGGGTAAGTGGCTGGTTGTCATGGCTTCTCCTGAATGCAGGCTAAGTGGCTGTTGTAATGCAATACTGATCGTCCTACTCAGCACTTTAGAGACATTTGGTAAATGGAGGTTCTTTCTTTCCTCCTCACAGGATATTGATGCTCATGGACAGGCATGATAAACAGAGAGAGGGCCACCAATTGAATTCCCCTTTAAGGTAAAGTCTGAGATATGGTTTGCTTACAACTATGCTATAACTACTATGTGTGGTGTGTGTGTGTGTGTGTGAGAGAGAGAGAGAATTTATGCAGTGAAATGGGCATGTCAGGCAGTGTGACCAACCAGGGCAGTCACTTGTCTCATTGCACATTTCGCAACTCTAAATCGCTGAATTAAAAAGTATATATTTGAATTATGCATGTTTGTATTTTCATTTCAAAGCCAGAAATGAATGCAAAGTAAATTGTAATTAAAATATTAATAGAAGCAGGTCTGACCACCAAGCACCTGTTCACAGAAACACCGTTGGGTTGGGAGAGGGGAAGGGATGTGGCTCACATTCCATCTACACAGGCTACACTTTTAGAAAAAAGGTTATATCTAGAATCTAAAAGGGTTATTCTGCTTTCCCCATAGGAGAACCCTTTGAAGAACTGTTTCTGGTTCCAGGTAGAACCCTTTCCGCATGGAACCGAAAAGGGTTCTCCTATGGGGACAGCCGAAGAACCCTTTTTTCTACGAGTCTACCCCCAAAGATCCCCTCTTTTCCCAATCACGTCTCAGAGTAGGAGTACTGATTTAGGATCAGTTTAGCCTTTCAGATCACAATTAATCAAGTTACATGGACAGGAAAGACCTGATCCTAGATAAGAACTTGATTCATACGGCCCCAGACTTTTGGTAACACCCCTACCTTCGCAGAACCTCTCTCCTCCCCAATCAGACCCTCCTCCTGAACCTTTGTGGAGGGTGGGTGTCCTGAGGGCGTGGGGGGGGGGGGGGGGGGGGGGGGGTTGTTAAAAGACATCCACATCCCACCAGCTGGGCCCTCCATTAATAATAGAGAGCAAGGTTCCTGACTGACTGACACAGTGTCAGTGAAACGACAGTGAAGTGTCAAAACACTATCCATAAGCTTACTGTTGCAGGCTCTCACATAGAACAGTTGTCTGAATACCCTATCTGTATTAGAATTGGTGGACTGTTAATGCAAAGAATCTAACTGTATTTTGTGGACTGGAGGTGTGGAGTTCTGTGTGGTTGGTCCTCGTTTGAACTTGACACCATCTGTACGCCACTGAAAGTGTGAGCACTTGGTATTTGGTAATCATGTCTTGCATCTCTTTGGTCTAAGGCTGTAAGGACGCATGCATTCTCTGAGGACCTCCCACATTCAACTGTCTGTCTGTCCATGCAGAAATATCATCACACCTCACTACACATCATCCTCCAGTCTCTCTCTCTCTCTCTCTCTGTGTCACTATCTTTCAGAAATCGACCCATCAATCCTTCTCTCACTAGCTAGGTTTCCATCCAATTGGTGAAAGATTTTCATGCGTATATTTAAAAATATGCATTTTCACACTAGTGGTGTGTTCCACCAAACGGACTTGCTGAGGATAACAAGCAGTCCGTGGTGACATAGTGATGACGTAGTGATGACGTAGTGCACATAAAAGGTACTTTTTCATGTATCAAATAAAAATCTAAAGTTCAATGTGTTTCCATCACATTTTCAACTCTACCGATAGTTTTGTTAAATAGCTAAATGTGCCTACTCTGGTCTTGGCAGGTGCGCTCTAGCCAACAGCTCGCAGATACAGTGTGGATCGGCTGTGCTAGTAGGCTAGGCTACATGATGAGATTATTATGGATAAGAGTGCTGTGCTAGTAGGCTAGTCTACATGAAGACATTATTATGGATAAGAGCGCTGTGCTAGTAGGCTAGTCTACATGATGACATTATTATGGATAAGAGCGCTGTGCTAGTAGGCTAGGCTACATGATGACATTATTATGGATAAGAGTGCTGTGCTAGTAGGCTAGGCTACATGATGACATTATTATGGATAAGAGTGCTGTGCTAGTAGGCTAGTCTACATGATGACATTATTATGGATAAGAGCGCTGTGCTAGTAGGCTAGTCTACATGATGACATTATTATGGATAAGAGTGCTGTGCTAGTAGGCTAGGCTACATGATGACATTATTATGGATAAGAGTGCTGTGCTAGTAGGCTAGGCTACATGATGACATTATTATGGATAAGAGTGCTGTGCTAGTAGGCTAGTCTACATGATGACATTATTATGGATAAGAGTGCTGTGCTAGTAGGCTAGGCTACATGATGACATTATTATGGATAAGAGTGCTGTGCTAGTAGGCTAGTCTACATGATGACATTATTATGGATAAGAGCGCTGTGCTAGTAGGCTAGGCTACGTGATGACATTATTATGGATAAGAGCGAGAATAGGTTTATTTGTCAAACTGCAGACAAGCGTCGATCAACATGTCACCAGAATAAGACCATCGATACACATTTTACATTTTAGTCATTTAGCAGACGCTCTTATCCAGAGCGACTTACATGAGCAATTTAGGGTTAAGTGCCTTGCTCAAGGGCACATCGACAGATTTTTCACCTAGTCGGCTCGGGGATTAGAACCAGCGACCTTTCGGTTACTGGCACAACGCTCTTAACCACTATGCCACCTGCCGCCCTGCCCCATCACCACCACCCTGTGAACCCTTAGCTCATTCCATCTGTAGCCTTATTAACTAGTCCACACAACCAACCCATCATCAAGTCAACTGACTACAAGTTTACCTCCATCAGACAGTTATTATATCAATATTTAAAACATAAAAAAAGGTGTTTCCACCGCCACTTCTCGCATAATTAATTCTACAGACACAAAAAGATCCCACCGTCTGTCGACATTTCCTGTTTCCATAAGCCCTGTCGTGCCTTTTTTAATGCGTCAGGTAATTCATCCACATTTAAATGGTTGGATGGAAATCTGGTTACTGTAGAGATTACAATCAATTAACCAATCAAAATGTTTTTTTATGAAGTTTGGTTCGATTCCCAAGGGGGACAAGTATGAAAAAAGTATGAAAATGTATGGACTCTATACTGTAAGTCGCTCTGGTTAAGAGTGTCTGCTAAATGACTAAAATGTACATCTCCACCAATCCATTCCCTTTAAAGTTCACATAAAAGGGAAGAAAATTGGGATGAAGCCTATGACTCTCAATCTATACCGTGGTCACTCTTTCTGGTTGCCTGGCTACCCATCCATATCGCTCAGCCAAACTGCCGTTTCTTCTCGACCATGACCCCCTACGATTTCTAGAACGCAAAAACATTCTGACTGTTCAAAAGGTTCTCAGAAGCTGATAGGTTGAGCCAGAGCCTACACGATGATGTTATTCACTTCGATACCCTTGATTGGTTAGATTTGTTCAAGACGATCCAAATCACTGATGAATTTGTTTTGCACAACGCCCCTCATTTTGAAATCCACACAAAACGACTTCTAGGAGGGCAGTTTCAGACTGAATGTATGTAGCAATTATATTCAGGGTGAGTCGTCGGGTAAAGCTAATTGACTATCTTTCTGGGGTTGTTGCACGCAGCCCTTGCATGACCTGTAGTGTTCCAGCCAATGACTGGGTCCCAAACAGAACTGGGCTGGCCATAGGGCAGTTCGGGCAATTGGCAGATGGGCTAGTCAGTCTTTAGTCCAGTGGGACTAAATTAGGTGTTTTGCGCAAAATTATAATAAATTAGCTAATAATGGGAGCTTCTAGGGGGAAAAAAATTAGCCTCTGTGGACGTCATAATGAAAACTATTGGGCCAGTGTGTTTGAAATGCCTGGGCCGATTTCTGGTCCCAGTCCATCCCTTCGTCCCAGCAGAGCAGAGCTACAGTGGGATTTTAAAATCAGGCGTTTGAGCAGCTGTGACTTTCAGCTCCACTGGGGGGTCCTCGTCTATCTGTGACTGCTGGCCTGGAGATGGGAAGAGAGGGACCATGGGGGGTCCTCGTCTATCTGTGACTGCTGGCCTGGAGATATCAGAGGGGAAGAGAGGGACCAACACTGCACCTGCCTGGTTGTCCTACCAAGGGACTAAATATCCATTCTGGGGTGTGTGTGTGTGTAGGTTGTGTGTGTGTGTAGGGTGTGTGTGTGTGTGTGTGTAGGGTGTGTGTGTGTGTGTAGGGTGTGTAGGTTGTGTGTGTGTGTGTGTGTGTGTGCGCGACAATAGTAGGTTAGTATGTCACATTGATTCCCATGCACATAAAAGTTCAAAACACACAATCTTACCATATCATACACATTAAGGATGACAGGTTCATTGGCCATGATTTAATCCTGAGATGGGAAGGCAACGTCCTCCCCCTCCGACGTTATTGCTCTGGGAATAGTAGCACCTTTAGCCCCTGACACCCAAGAGGTGCATAGGATACGATTCTGCTTGATGTGCGCTTCCCGGATGGGGCTACTCACACTGCGCCGTATTGGATGGAGCACCGCGATGGAAGGATGGATCGAATGTCTGTCATGCTCCAGCCTCAGCCAAAACAAAGAATTCGGTCCAATAATTCTACCCGTTCAAGCGTATCTCGATTGTAGAAGTTGGGGGGGAAAAAGTATCAAATATCAAGGCAGCGAAACGTCAACGACTAATGTTTCGCTTTTTTGGCTGTAAAGACCACAGGCACGCACATAACGTTACTAGATCCAGACCCGAGTTAGCTCGCTTCAGTAGCTAGCTGGAGCTAGACAGTTGCAGAACTGTTGAACACGGCCCATTTCCAATTCCAAAAGCAAGAAAAAAATAGGTGCTCCGGAAACCAAATTATGGTTACCGTTAGTTTCACTTTGCTAGACTCCGTTGTCGCATAAAACGGCGATCAACTGCCTGTATATTGAGATGCTAAAACAGCACCGCTGGGAGGATGAATATGCGAGTGTTCGAATCCGGAAATGTCACCCCGGGCCGAGAGCCGCCGAATATCACTTTTCTCTCAAACGCGGCCACTGAAGACGGCAAGGCAAAAATAGCTAGTATATAAAAGCTAGCTGGCTATAGATTTGCGTATTGTTTTACCGTTCACTTTTGGCTTGTCAGCTGTGTGGTGAAAACTAGCAACAGCGCAGGTATAGACGGTATCAGTGGTGCATGAAGTGGCCCACATCACACAGACAAGATCGAGAGAGAGAGTCGAGTCGTTTTGCCGTAGCTAGCTAGCTACCGTCCTCGGTCTCTGTCCGTTCGATGAGATATACGATTGGGTGGGGAGGATCTCTCACCGCAAAAAAACAAAAAACGATGATGTCCTCCGGTCTCGTTAAAACTGCTCAAAAGAAAGTGAATGACATAATCCGAACCGTGTGGCGCGTGCCTCACAGCTGGCGGAACGTCCTGTGCACGAGCCGGGTCCTATGGGAATGGGAGGATTCGATTATGCTGCGCCGCGGGGCACCGGACTATGGCCCGTGACGTGAACGGGCAAAAGCGGTGAGAGAGGAGCGCCCTCTTCGAATGGAACAGTAATCTACGCGGCTTGGTCATGTTGTCAACAAGGCAGCATGGTGCATCGTCCAAAAACAAATAGTGTTTTTATCAGAAGCAACCACTTCTGCATGTGAAAACAGAGTCCTACTCATTACTTCACACGCTCCTACCTCACTTTTGTTTTGAGCCAACTTCGCTCCGGCTTTTGAAAGGGGTACCAGATGCCATGTTGAAACCAACGGGGAACTCGGAAATCTCTGACTTCCGACTTCAGTGCGTTCAAAACAACTTGGAAAAAAACAAGCTCCAACTGGGAAAAATCGATTTGAACAGTCAACCAATTCGAGAACTCTGCCTCTTTCTAGAGCTCTGACTTTCCGACCTGAAGATCACTGACGTCATGATTTGACCTCGTATTTTTTCGAGTTCCCAGTTGTTTTGAACACGGTATGACTCACGCCCGGGAAGCAGCCCAGTTCCAAAACGAACGCAATCAAATTTCACCCGGTGCAAAACATGCATACACGGGCACCCGAGACAGATTAATCGAGTCCCCTCTATGAGTGGGGAGGAGAAATGTTGATTACATCATCGTGCTAGCGCTACTGGCTGCTTCGGCTCCAAGCATCCCTCCTTCCGCAACCAATTGACGATGGACTGCATACATGAGATGGGGTGGGGGCGTGGAGTTGTAGCGGTCAACAGAGCGTTTACGGGAGAGATCTATGCTTTTATTTCAAACTTTTCACTTTAACATCATGATTGATCGTCATCCTCATTAACCTCGTCATTTTACAGAGCAAGCCATTTGGGGAATTTCTACTAGAAATCTTTAGGAGGGGAACCCATTCATTAGGCTAACATCACAACACAAACAAAATCCTTGCTGCTTGAAAGATATGCGACAAGGCTAAAACAAATACAAGAATGAAAAAGGATCACATGCTGAGCATAAAGGTTTATTTATTTAGAATTGTTTTACCCATTGTAAAAACAAACACTGCTTGATTAAGGCAAAAGTTACACAATCCATAACATTGATAATCTGCAAATATAGTATTGGCTAACAACAATGTAGGACAAAACGTACATGAATTGTGACCTTTAATGTGCTGTACAGTACGTCTCCTACAGATTAGTAATAAAGGGACAAATATAACTCACTTCCAATTATTTCAAGCCTCGTTGTGATTATTTCATACACACCTCATGTGCTTTAAATTAAAACAAATTCATATTCTGCATTTCAATTTTAGTCATTTAGCAGATGCTCTTATCCAGAGTGACTTACAGTTCATTCATCTTCTACCCCCAAGCCATAAGACTTCTGAACAATTAATCAAATGGCCACCCGGACTATTTGCATTTTTTTTTTTGTGAGGTGAGGAGGATAATTTAAAATTGTGTTTGAAGAGGTAAGGTTTCAGATGTTTTCAGAAGATGGGCAGGGACTCCGCTGACCTAGCTTCAGGGGGAAGCTGGTTCCACCATTGGGGCGCCAGGACAGAGAAGAGCTTGGACTGGGCTGAGCGGGAGCTGTCCTCCCGTAGAGGGTGGGCGGGTCAAGAGCCCTGAGGTGGTAAAACAGCGTGCTGAGGTTGGGGTGTAGGGTTTGAGCATAGCCTGATGTTAGGGAAGTGCAGTTCCTCTTTCTGCGCCGTAGTTAAGCAACATGGTCTTGTAGTGGATGCGAGCTTTGACTGGAAGCCAGTGGAGTGTGAGGAGGAGCGGGGTGACATTGGAGAACTTGGGAAGGTTGAAAACCAAGCGGGCTGTTGTTGCAGGGGTTTGATGGCACAACATTTTTACATTTAAGTCATTTAGCAGACGCTCTAATCCAGAGCGGTTTACAGTAGTGAGTGCATACATTTTCATACGCAGGGAGCCCAGCCAACAGCGAGTTGCAGTAGTCCAGATGGGAGAGGACAAGTGCCTGGATTAGGACCTGCGCCGCTTCCTGTGTGAGGTAGGGTCGTACTATACAGATGTTGTAGAGCATGAACCTGCAGGAGCGAGTCACTGCTTTGATGTTTGCAGAGAATGGCAGAATGTTGTCCAGGTTCACGCCAAGGTTCTTTGCACTCTGGGAGGGCGACACTGTGGAGTTGTCAACCGTGGAGGAGGTCTTTGATCGGGCAAGCCTTCCCCGGGAGGAAGAGCAGCTCCGTCTTATCGAGGTTGAACTTGAGGCGGTGGGCCGACATTCAAGTTGAGATAACTGCCAATCACACAGAGATGCATGTCGCCACCTGGGTGTCAGAAGGGGGGGGAGGTGAAAAGTAGTTGAGTGTCATCCGCATAGCAATGATAGGAGAGACCACGTGAGGATATACATGGAGCCGAGTGACTTGGTGTATAGAGAGAAGAGGGCCTAGAACCGAGCCCTGGGGGACACCAGTAATGAGAGTATGTGGTGCAGACACAGATCCTCTACACATCACCTGGTAGGAGCGACCTGCCAGGTAGGATGCAATCCAGGAGTGTGCAGAGCCTGAGACGTCCAGCCCTGAGACGGTGGAGAGGAGGATCTGATGGTTCACGGTGTTGAAGGTAGCAGATATATCTAGGATGATGAGAACAGAGGAGAGAGTCAGCTTTGGCAGAGCAGAGAGCTTCCATGACACAGAGAAGCGCAGTCTCGGTTGAGTGACCAGTCAAGAAGATAATTCTGAGAGAGATTACGAGAAAGTTGATCAGCACGCTCAAGCGCTTCGGAAAGAAAAGGGATACAGGTCTATAGTTTGACGTCAGATGATTGGAGTGTTGGTTTCTTGACGAGGGGAACAACTAGGACCATTTTGAAGTCAGAAGGGACGCAGCCAGTGGTCAGGGATGTGAGGTGGTCTCCAGAGATGGCCTGAAGAAGGGAGGAGGGGATGGGGTCTAGTGGACAGGTTGTTGGGCAGCCAGACCTCACTAGTCGCAGGATGTCATCTGGAGGTTGATGGGAGAAAGAGGTCAAGTCGTAAGGTAGTTCTGTGTTAGTGAGTCCAGTGGATTCAATAGGCTGAGTGAACGAGTGGCGGACGTCAACCTTTTTCCCCAAAGTGGTTGACAAAGTCGTCCACAGAGAGGGAGAAGGAGGGAAAAGTGTTTCCTAGTGTTGTGGAAAATTTGATCCAAAAGATTAAGGCAGAGACTATTTAATGATATAATAGAAAAATCTTGAATCAAGCTACTACAGGGGAGATCTAGCTCAGATCACAGGGAAGAACTCAAATAATAAATGGTTACATGTTGCCTATATAGTGTGAAGTGATAAAATCATATTGTTTACACAATTCGTTCAATACAAGCAACAGTTCCGGAATACAATGGCCCTGTTAAGGTGCGGTCATACCAGGAGTCTATGAAAGGCATAACGTCACAGTCCAACACAGAACATATCCCTTGAGCAGTTACAACAGCTCACCTCAAAAAAACGCTTGACCTCATCAATAAAGATGAGGTCAAGCGTATTGCCTGCCTTGTGAGTTGGAGGGGATTGGGGAAGGGTGAGGTCAAAAGAGGGAAGGATGGCAAAGAGTTGAAAATAAATTTAATCGAAGGCAGACGTCGTGAGGTTGAAGTCGCCAAGTACGAAGAGCGGTGAGCCATCGTCAGGAAATGAACTTATCAAGGTGTCAAGCTCATAGAGGAACTCTCCAAGGGAACCTGGTGGGCGATAGATGACAATGTTAAGCTGGAGAGGACAAGTGACAGTGACAGCATGGAATTCAAATGAGGAGATGGACAGGTGAGAGAGGGAGAAAATAGAAAATCTCCACTTAGGAGAAATGAGTAGACCTGTGCCACCACCGCGACGACCAGATGCTCTTGGACTATGAGAGAAAACAGTTAGATGGAGAGCAGCTGGAGTAGCAGTGTTCTCTGGGGTGATCTATGTCTCCGTCAGGGCCAAAAAGGTCAAGGGACTGAAGGGCAGCATAGGCTGAGATGAACTCTGCGTTCTTGACCGCAGATCAGCAGTTCCAAGCGCTGCCAGAGACCCAGAATTCCACATGGGTTGTGCGCTCAGGGTACACTAAATTAGAAGGGGTTGCAGTTAAGGGGTGGGGAGCGTCTGTAACGCCCACAGGGAGAGGAGTGAACCTGTCCAGTTGACAAAGCCACAAAATAGCAAACATGAGTCTGTAAATAACTAAGATACTCAAGTGAGAGAGTGGTGTGGAGTCTTCCTCGCGTTCCTTCCTTGAACAACTAGGCAGAACAGTCTTTGTTTTCGGGCGACGGTTTTGCAACAAAACTGACAAACTAATACTAATTGTCTAGCAGAGGTGAAGAGCGCACCTCCCTGTACTAATCGCCTTGGAGAAGTTAAACTACCCCCCCTCCAATACAGGCGCTGATTACCAAAACAAGTCACAAATTGCCCCGCCCCTTGATCCTGGTTGTTGTGTGTCAACTATCTGCAAATTATGAGCAGACAGCAGTTCACACACAAATTAGGCCACTGGGAAGACAGGCAGCGCTCACAGTAGATGGCCCTAGTTTGCAAAAAGACCACAACAGATAGACAAAAAAAAATTATACTTATCACTCCTGGAGATATCAGGAATCCTCTAGCTGTAGAATGAAGCAAATTGTACCCAATTCTCTACCTAGTGCACTAAGGGCCCTGGTAATAGTAGTATTATGTCTCGTTGGGCCTTGGCATAGATTCTATAAGTGTCTGGAACTCTATTGGAGGGATGCAAAACCATTCTTCCATTTGGTGTTTTGTTTTTGGTGGTGGAAAACGCCATCTCATGCGACGCTCCAGAATCTCCTATAAGAAAGACAGTCTAAACAGTTCTCGCATATTTTCTGACGCAATTTGATAAAAATAAAAAAAATACAAGTTTTGTTCACCAGAATTTTTTCGGCGGTTCGCACACACAAAAATGTTTTCTTGAGGCAAGTCGAAGTCTACGCCGCTTCATTGGTGATTT